AGTGCTATATGGAAGAAAACAGCAACCCTACGCTCCAAACCGCGGTCATAATCATATCCTTACAAACACAAGTGCTATATGGAAGAAAACAGCAACCCTACGCTCCAAACCGCGGTCATAATCATATCCTTACAAACACAAGTGCTATATGGAAGAAAACAGCAACCCTACGCTCCAAACCGCGGTCATAATCATATGCTAACAAACCCAGGTGCTATATGCAAGAAAACCACAACCCTACGCTCCAAACCGCAGTCCTATGCTTACAAACAACTCGTTATCGTGCATATCACGTGCAATTAATGCTGATAGAAAGTTAGATAAAAGTCAACTCTGTGTGAGAGCGCACGGCCCCCGGTTAGATACCCAACCTGTGCAACTGTAATGTCGCATAATCGCTGGTTAGACTCTCAAAGTAAAGTTTCCGCATAAGATAGCGCTGTCCTTGTGTGCATACCCGAGGCTTCCATGATAGCACACATGGTCTCTTGATTTGATTTTCGAAGCTTCAACGACAAAAGAAGTGACAAGAAGAGAAGTGAGTTGCCACTTTTCTGATCTAATCACCCCCCCCCTTCGTAAACTCAGCAATACTTGGCAGTGCGACCTTAGAAGTGGCAGATTACCGACAGCACCATGGCAAAGTGTTTGTAGCAGACGCTGAATTCGAGCATGTGTCAAACTTCGAGATGCGTTGAACAGGACAATAAAACCACGCGCTGCCACTGCTCTCTCTCTCTCTCTCTCTCCTTTCCTCCCTCCCTCCATCTCTCGCTCACTCTCCCTCTCTCTCTTCCTCTCGATAACTGTCACTCAAGCGAAGCGACAAGAGTGGCCTTTGAGGACAGGTGTTGTCCGTTATATAGAGGTGTAGCCGATGACACATCGGACACAGTCGTACCGCACAGTGCATTGAGATATCGTTGAGCATCAGCACGAGTGTGACTCGCTGCACACACGCACTTGCGGGCGAGCCGTGCCGATAACAGCGAGGACTGATAACTGCACGAGGGGCGTCTTCGCGAGAACGCGCACTCTCGTCAACGCCCCCTATCCACCGCACCCACCGCACCACACGCGCGTGTCCATCGCGCTGGCTGGTCGTCGTCGGCAAAAACATGCTGTACAACAGGGAAAAAATATAATTTATTTTTCGGGGGCTACTTTTCAAGCTCGCGTGCATGAAAATAGCACTCTAAAATTTGGTTTGCATTGAACTCTATGCAAATTTACGGGGGCTCTTTTTGTCATTTCCAGGGCTCTTTTTGGCATTTCAGGGACTAAATCTTCCTGAGCCCCCGTGTATTTTTTTCACTGCTGTACAACACGCCACCACGTTTCTTCGCAGCCTCCCGTCGTCTGAAAGCAGCGGTGGCGGAGACTCATGAATGCATTATGCATCCGTTCGCAATTAGCTCTCGCACCCGACTCGCAAACTATTAAACGTCAAGAGATTCACTTCCTCAGGTGCAATTGCCGTGGCGACGCCGCCTCGGGAAAGGGTGATGGGGATTCCAACAGTTAGGGGGTGAAAACGCACGCGTGACGCGGGGTGGGGTGGGGAATCTAATGGTTAGAGGAGGCATTGCAAGTGTGACGCGGGGTGAGAGGATCGAAGGACGGGATCTTTTCTAGACAACCAGCACCAAAGCGTAGTTGAACACGATCCGCACGTACGTGTCTGCCCGCTCCCGCCCCCTCTCCCTAGGATACATTTATCGCAATATATGCATACATGTTTCACAGATTGTCTCATCGCTCGTAATGATCCCGCCACCGCTCAAAGATTGTCGAAAAGCAAACACCTAGTGTAAACACCGTGTGTGTTCGTACGGGAGGTGGGGGCAGTCAATTGCTGTGTACTACTTCCGTAAGAAATGTTGGGGAGTGGGGAATGGGAGAAGGAAAGTGGGGAAAAATCTGTGGAGAGCTGGACCATCTCTAAGAGACACACAGATCGACTGCCACTACATGACACAGATTTGACATGCTTGTCATTCGATGCTACAAGGTTATAAAAGTTGGTGCCAGAGCGATAGATTATGTGATGGAGGGGAGTGGTCCCCCATTTATGACATGGCATTTTTGTTTTGTCCACAAACAATGTTAGCCATCCTCTGAATTCAGTCAGATTGTAAACTGTCACAAAAAAAACCGTCATTTACCTGCTAAGTTATGTCACTGATTCTAAACTGTCATAAAAACCTGTAACCTAACCACTCAATTCTGACACTGCTTCTATTGTCTGTCACTAAAATTGTCACCTAACCTCCGATCTGTGTCAACGATTCTAAACTGTCATAAAAACCTGTCACCTAATCACTAAACTCTGTCACTGTCTCAAAACTCTGTCATCGTCAACCGTCACCGCCTGTCATCTATGTCATCGCCGACTGTCACTGCCTGTAAACTGTCACCGTCGCTAAACTCTGTCACTGCCTCTAAACTCTATCATCGTTGACCGTCACCGCCTCTCATCGCTGTCATCGTCGACCGTCTGTCATCTCTGTCACCGTCGACTGTCACACCTACCCTCAGCGATGACATCTTCCACGGTGACCCGATGTCGTCCGATCGCAAACTCCTTGCCGATGTAGTTGGTTTGCAGCGACGACTGGTTCTTCAGGAACAGCTTCTTCATGGCTGCCGCGGCGCCGCGTCCGTGATTCGCTCGTCGGGGGGGAAGAAACTCGCTCGCCTGTCGAACAGACGTGCAAATCGGCGCTGAGCGACGGACAGCAGGCGAACGCAGAATCAACGACTGACCGGGGCTGAGCGATGATGACTCGCACGGCAGACGATCGCCGTGTCCGCGGTTTGAGATTCGTTTGTCGAGCTCTCCTCATCATTTGCCTCCGGATGCCAATTGCATTGTGCGGGTTGGCGTGGGGTGACGAAAGAAAGATGCGATCGGGGAGGGGGGGAGGGGTGGAGGTGGAAATGAGGTGGGGTTGGGTGATGGTGGTTGTGAGGAGGGAATGAGAGCATAGTAGAGAGAGAGGTAAAATTCCCTGGTAGGGAATTAGTGGTCTGAATGGATTATCCATAGTTGCACTCATATTATTAATAGATTTGCCATCACAGCAATATATGTGTCTGTACCACAATCATGCACTGTTCTGTGTATCACCTGGCCGAGTAGTATGATGATGAAATGTAAAAGTAACTGTAGAAATTCTACATCACAGTAACCGATCGTCCTTAGCCGAGTAGATAAACAGGCAACAATAATATTAATAATATAGTATAAATATATCATTATAATTATATGTCTTATAAAGTCATGCATGTGCTAGACTGTGACAGTTATGCAAGTGCTACTCAGCCTACTGTATCAATCAATAGGTGGCAGCAGTACAGTAGGATCCCGCATACATGTACATGCGTGAATAATTACTAATAGCCCTACATTTGTGTTGTCAAAATCGATAATATATTACTAACTGGTAACCGGCCTATTCTGGATTCAGTGATTGACTCAATGACTGAATGAGTGATTCATAATTCACAGTGTGAAGTATAAACAGGGAGTGACACGTCGTGTGGTTTAAAATAGACAGAATTTGTGGCATGACGTCAAACTTACTGATTGGAAATGTTTACTTACACAATATCGAAGCTTATTTTCACCACATTATAAATAGTTTTCACTCATAAGTTGACATAACAGAAATTTTCTTCCTCAGCTTTCTCTTTGCGATGGCTGCTCTCGCGAAATATCACGAAAATACACGGTGACTGTTCGCTTGTTCGACAATTTGCGCATTGCAAAGTTCAGCAGAGTTCATTCATTGACAACACATTGTGTGTGTCAATATTTAGTTCTAATAATAGCAAATATATATATATATATATATATATATATATATATATTGCACGTACATGGTAATCTATATCTAACTGGCTTGTTTTAAATAAAGAAAAAGCTAGCGTGACAAAAATTTACGTACATACATCCACATAATGTATATGTGCTTGCTTGCGCGAGCACGCGCGCGTACAGATGTGTAAATGTACGCGTGTTGTAGGCTGTCAGTACACGCGTGCGTGTGTGTGCGCCCGCTCGCGGTATTTTATTAGTTGATTATTCTTCAAATTCTTGCTATTTTATCATATATTGCGTCTATCCTACAGAGGTGAGAGGGCGCCACTTTCCGGTCAGCAAGAAGGCCAGAGATCGCGGTCAGTGGAATTTCTGCGTACCCCAGTGCCCACATTTACTCTATAGTATGCGCGCGCATGTGTGTTTGTGTAAACCGACAAGCGTACGTCAACAACGTATACAGTCATTGACTCGATCCAGCTTTGCTTCAATGTCCGAAATACCATATAAACGTGTACAAAGAAAATTAGCCAAAAAATGTACTCGCTGAGCTAAATATACTAATATAATGTTGTGCGATGTGCGGATGGAGGTGGGTGGCTATATATATAATACCAGGAGTCTATCCTCCTGATAATCTCCTGATATATCCGGCTATACTCCTGATAATACCTATTGTTGCTACCGCGGCTGTTCGTGTTATTTTCGGTGCACACATCGTTGTCGCGTGATGCTAACTAAGCTATAGACGGTGGTATATATATATACAGTCAAACGTAACAGGGCAAATATATACACGCGCAAGCGCCTTCCTGGGAATTTTTATCCGTGAAGTTTTCTGTTCAGGAAAAGTATTCAATTTTCAATTTTCATACATTATTAAATGCATGGCACATGCATTAATTTAATTCAATGTCGCAGTCATACTTTTAATTTGTTCGTGTCGTCACATATATGGGTGTGCGTACGTATACGCGCGCGCGTGTATACGACTGCGTAGTGTATTAGTAGTGTATAGTGTATTAGTAGTGTATAGTGTATTAGTAGTGTATAGTGTATTAGTAGTGTATACGACTGCGTCGCTCGCACAGACTATATTTTTATTGTAATCAATGCAGATCGCAGTGATTTGTAGAGTTAATTGTTTTTGGTTTTTTAGTTGCCTGTGTCTAGTTTTTATGTCGCAGCTAGTAGTTGTACTCTCACACTACGCGCTTTTTAGATAGAACACGGGGGGAGTGGAATCGGTCTATTTATCGCAGTATAACCATCCACGAATCCATTGAATTCATTGAATGCACGAATCCATTGAATATCAACGCGAAGTTTCCCGTGCAAACGCGCATCTAATCACCTACACAAGAGCTACGCGTTAATGATACCTAATTGCACACAGGTGTGCGGTGATACGATAGTATTGCTAGCAAAACTAGCAGTTACAATACGCGCAATATCTCCTTTTCGAAATAATAGCGATCCCGCGCTCCAAATACTCCGCGATCATTGGGCAGCTGGCGATCACGTGACTCAAAATTTGAGTATAGGGACGTTGCAACAGCCAGTTGGCGGGAGTCAGTATAACCGTTGTTCTTCGTCCATAAACTTATACTGTCATCATGGTAAATATCTGTAATTTTCGTGTGTTTTCCAGAGGCATCGAAATCTTTACTTTACACCAGTGGAAAGATCATTTATTTGCGATTACGATATTGTGAAAATTTCTAGTGTAACGGTTAGATTAATCGAGATTTTTGCATTTTTAGCCGGGTGGTAAAGCTGGAAAAGATTCCGGAAAGGCGAAGGCAAAGGCCGTTTCGCGATCTGCCCGGGCAGGATTACAGGTAAGTTTCTCATAGACCTTGTCTTTTCATACAAATATTTAAATAGTATATGTTTCTTAGTAACCTAAGACATGTCTGCAAATATAAGATGTAATTTTCAGGTATGTAATTATTGGTAAAATTTTCAGTTTCCTGTCGGCCGTATTCACCGACATTTGAAAACCCGAACTACAAGTCACGGCCGTGTTGGAGCAACAGCGGCAGTATACAGTGCAGCAATATTAGAATACTTGACTGCAGAAGTAAGTACCAATATTTCAGTCATTAACATTAGTTCATTACGGTCGGTTAATTCATTTTCATCAAATTGTCCCAATGTCGGCAGTCTCGTCGCTGCCTGGTGCAGTAACTTATCATACGTCGTTGAAAACAGTGTAATGAAATTTCTAATTGGGGTGCAGATAGCCTGCAGGTTGATTTCGCGTTGAAACCGATCAATTGGACGATTTCATATCTTGCTTCCACGTAAAATTTTGTGCGGTGATGTACAGCGTCAATGTTTGTGTTCAAAATGTGGCGCGATGGTGGACCGGAAAATGGCCGCCCCTCGCTGGCTCAGTGCCAATAGACGCGGTCACGAAACAAAGGGTCCCGGTACAGTCAAAGAAGTAGTTGGGGGTGGGAAACTGGTTTGCGGGGGCTGTTCTCATTGAATGACCGGTGTAACGTATTTACGAATATTGTAATCAGAGGTGGGTATGCCGACCAAAATTACTGGATGCTTACCATCGCGGGTCCGTGTGAATTGTGCAATTAGAGACTAGTTCAGTAGTTGTGTACAGTGTAATCCACGACCGCACTAACTAACTAACCCTAATTGTCATGCTGGTTCTTGCTACTGTATGCTGACTAGCGTACAATGCAATAGGCTGAATAGCCAGTATACGTCATTGTATAGTTATCTGTAATATTAGAACCTTGTTAAATAAAGATATATATATATATATATATATCCATTTCACAAAAAGTAGAATGAATGTAGTTTGAATGCTGTTGCCGTCTGGGCATATATTCGTTATGGTCGTTAGCGCCAAACACGTTTGCGCATCGTAAATCAAAACGGATGCAGATATTCGTTAGTGTGTCGTGTGGCAGAATCGTGGCGAGAACCAGTAGTTATCACACATGCGAGCTAACTGTCGCTGTGTCTTCGCGCAGGTACTCGAGCTGGCAGGCAATGCTAGTAAGGATCTTAAGGTGAAGCGAATCACACCGCGTCATCTCCAGCTCGCCATCCGTGGTGACGAGGAGCTCGATTCCTTAATCAAGGCAACGATCGCGGGCGGAGGTAAGTCACCCGTTACCGTATATATATATGTCGCGTGGGTGGTAGTAGTAGTGGCAGGTCACGGAAACACTGGCCAGCACTGTATATCGTTTTCACTTGTACGGTAATTGCTGTAAGCAATTGAATCGGAAGTCGTGAGATGCAACGATGCACGTCATTAATTGTACTTCTACAATCTTCCACATTGTGCGTCACTTTTCTACGTAGATTTATGAATGTTGGCGATTCGATCTGCGTGTGTTAACAGCCGTTCTCGTTTTTATTTGCAGGTGTCATCCCACATATCCACAAATCTCTGATTGGCAAGAAGGGATCTCAGAAAGCTGCGTAAAACGTGAATCTAGACTATTGCTTTGTCACCCTCTTCGCTGTAAAAAGCTTATGAAATCAACCAGCACTTGAAACTGCCGCCATTATTTTGTCGTCTTTGAAGACTGACCGTCCCCTGTACCAGGGAGACCGGGGTATTTAGTAGTGTCGAGTTTACGCGTGTGTGTGTGTGTGTGTGTGTGTGCCGATCGACAATGTTTTCTCCAGAGGCAAATCCTTGCAGAGTTACGCCGGCGTGTGTCGGACACGGAGGCGACAACACGTGACGTCACCACCGGTGGTGCTGTTGTTCTGACGCGGGCCTTATCAAAACGAAACTGTTACAGTAGCCGTAGATCATATCTCTGGTGATCGATCAGGTGGTCGCACCCCATTGTATATAGCTGTAACTTGGTTCAATTTTAGATTGCAACATTTGTGTGGTATACCTACTCTTTTTGGCCGGAACAAATTTTTCAGTTGAACCTAACGAGGTTTGCCTCAAATGTCGTGTAACATACATATTTTTAGTAATCCATCTTAGTCTTCATTGTAAGTCCCTGAGATTTGTGAATCGGTTTGAGATGGGTTTGTGTTTGTCTATTGTCTTGTGCGTGTGTGTGTAGAAATGAATGTATTTTGTCCAAGGTACGTCCTTGTCCGTGCTTATTTGACAGATGATCGGAAACATTTAACTGCAGATCTTGTAGGTTTTTCCTTTTTCGGTAGCTTTCTGGCATTGTAAAAGTTTGCGCGGAGGTCTGCAGGTAGCTTCGTTTCGATTGTCACTGTCCCCTAGGCCTTTAATGTAAGGTTTATAGGTTTTTAATCTTAAACTTAAAAAACTTCAATTGAAATAAATAAATATTAGTCCATCCATGTGAAGATATTTCATCATTCCTGTGTGTTTATAGCGGTAGACATCTAGTATTTGTTTCACTGCCACCACTGATTCCAGTGAATGTTATCTCAAGTTTGGATTAGGACTGGAAATGGTGGTGACCATACTGAAACTGTCATTATATAGTTGGCAAACTGTGCAAAGATTTCTAGATTGTTCTTGTGTAGCCATAAATATAAGTTAGCGTACAGTATTTTGTTAAAGTAATTTCAAATCAATTGTTTTTATGTATGCAATTGAATCGAATTATTCTGCTGATTTTTATAATGAAGCAATAATGGCAAAAATGTACTGACCGTGCAAGCTCCAACTGGAAGTTCAGAACACTGTTATACTACTGCATTATCAACTCACTAGTTTTACCAGATGTGTAACTTTTTAATTCCAAGGTAAAAATATAATACCACAAATTTTTGTATAAAAACATCTTTGTTTGTGTTTTAATAGCAACATCTGTCTGCATCAGATCAGATTAATCATCAGAGAATAGACATATATATATATACAAGAAAGCAGATGCCGTATATACAAATTAGCGCAGTTATCAAAGGTAGTCGAGAGAAGTCATTTAATAACAGGAGAGTAGTGTAAGGTCAATGGTTGATCATTTAATATCTCTACCTCATGTCACAGATGGTATGTGATCACATAATTTAGCATCAGCAATAGTCATGATAACCAACAGTCTACGTCAGTAGAAGACTGAAGTGACAAGTCCTAATGACATCAGGAGTGTATCAATACACTATATGTATTGATACACTTCTGATGACATGTATAGATATGAATTACTATATTCCTATCTACAGTAATTCCTCTATACATGGCAACAGCAAATCAGTCGTACAGGGACACCCGATTCTCTTGCAGCAGTGGCGCCCTCTCATCCCGTGCCTGGATGCTGGCGGTGACTGGGGTGTTGGGAGAGGGTGACTTGCAGCAGTACCATAGGTAGGCAGGATCCAACAACTCATTGTACAAAGCTGTCCCGATCATGAGGAACAGAAAGCCGTCAACTGTAAAAGAAAACGGATTTGCATGAAGCATGAACAAAACTAAAATAAAACCGTAATATTTATTCCTCAATATCTATTACAGAGGGTACAGATCTACTATACAATTATCATGTAGTAGGGCAATATACTCACAAATTGTCAGATTCTAAATTAAAACGTGTTCTTTGTCAATGATAGATTGAATATTCACCATAATTGCTATGGAAAACAACGCATGATAATCCATAACTTACATTACACAAGCAAAGAAATGCACTGAATACCATGTTAATGATTTTTCATCAACAAAGGGCCACCAATATTCAAGCAGCATTACGTTTCCAGAATCAATATTTGCATTAAACACATCTGTCGCAAGACAGCAGCATTGTGTCAAGAAAATTGTACTCACTTTGTATGAGTCCCCAGGCTTTATGAAATGGTTCACCGAAACTCTGTAACGGGAATAAACAAAAACCGTAATGACACGCTCTGTGTAGAATCCACCGTCACAGAGTTACTGTGTGACAACAATAGAGCCGGCTTAGTCTATAAAACATTGTACGCACGACTGAAATCCAATTCCTTGGACATTTGCAACATCTGCCAAATCCTTTGACAACACGGTTATCGATCAGGAAAGTATGTAGAACGTTCACAATTTAGACTTGGACAAAATGTCCATGAAACTAAACGCGGGGCGGCCTTATAGTCGTGTTGTGGTCAGCAGGAAACATGTAATGGGGTGGATTTCTCCGAGTACGTACAGGGTCGAAGGCGTAGTAGACAAGCAGACTGACTACCCACACACCGATGGTCCTGCAGGCATCTACGAGGGTACGATGCACCGCTGAAGCAAAACAAGAACACGTGCTTTAGCATGAACAGGAAACAACACAATAATACGTAATGGGGTATAATAATAATATACATATAAACATATAAATAATATGATAAATAATATCAAGAGTCCATAATAGAGACTCTCTATTATGGACTTGATAATATAGATCAGTACAACTGGTACTGTGACAGTTATGAAACACATATCATTCGCTCTTGCTTCGTATATGTAACTATACACACTATTTACATACACAGGCAAACCTGTATATGAGGTTCACTCACGGGAAATTCCAAAGGTGACCTTTATAGACAGCTATCCAATCTATAGGAGTGGTTTCATTGTATAACTGCCACTCAAGAGAAACACCATGTCTCTTCAGACGGGTGTCTGTTCAAAAGAGGTGCCCATTAACACACATTTGACTGCATGACATCATTTGTGCACATCATCTGTACTGATCTCTTAGCGACCTGAATTCCTACCCGTCAACGACTTTGTCACAGCAAGACCAAAGAAGTTATAGAAGGCGATGGACATCAGGTAGAGCAGGGAGAAGACCAGCAGCTTGGGATCGTTGCCGATCTGGTAGAGAGCGTCCAAGCTGTTCTCGTAGTTGCCATTGATGTCGTTGCCAGGAATGAAGAACATGGCCGGTAGGACGATCTTCAAAGTGCGCAAAACACCACAATCGTATCAGGAGCACATAACAAAAGAATAAACTGTGTCATCATGGACTGCCGAGTTATCCTTTTTATCACGTACTCATTGTCACTCTCATTTGTAATATACTCCTGAGTATTTCTTTTATTATGTAGGCCTGGGTGTTCTCTTTCTCTCACTATCTTACCATGTTCTCCCGATTACGCTATTTTGTACTCCAGAACACACATGTGTAGAACTCTATGAGAACTTCATATGAATATTTATGATAACTCTTAACAGTGGCACAGTTATCGCTCAACAAATTATATTACAGCATTGTGAACAGATGAGCCACCTTCAGTAGTATAGGCCCACTTCTGCACTGTTCCCTAAGCTGACTGTCTATGTAAAATCCAACCTGGACCATAAATGGTGACCCAACAACTTTCGATTCATGACTCACCAAACTCATGATGAAGAATCCAAACGTTCCTTCCATTCCAACAACCTAAAATGGAAATCCCATCCAAGTATTAATGACTCATAGTTAATTTATATGTTTTTGTAACTCGCACTCAGAAATGGAAATGCCTAATTGCATATTGTATAATATTATGTTGTATTATGTGATATCAGCCAGTGTATAATATATAGTAGTATAAATACTGCGTATCCAAGTATAGCAGGCAACATGAACATATGAGGCTAGTATAGTGCTGAGAGGCTCTATGTCCCCCAGGGTACTGCCGGAACGTACCCTGGTACTACCTAATATGCCGGACCTTTACCTCGCCTACTCCACTAACGAGTCTAGGGAGTCGCATACGCCTACTCCCTAACTCTAACCCTAACCATATCCAATAGTTACCAGGGTACGTTCCGGTATACCGGACCGTACCCAGGGTACGTTCTGGCAGTACCCTGGGGGACATAGACCCTATGAGCGCTAGTAGTGAGTACATATTATTATGTTCAGCCTCAGTCGTGGACTCACGTGCAGTGGATGCAATGAACGATTCTTTAGAAAACTTTCCTCAATAATCATCTGAGTTGCACTGACTAGCTGGCCTCCAAGTATTAGAGATATTCCTGGAAACGTCGAAAACCAGATTTAGCATGCATCAAGCACAATCTCGTAAACATGACAGCCAAACAGTTTCTAATACATGGTGTAAGTGCTCCGTATTGCACTTATGCTTAATGATGATAGACATACTAAGAAGTTAGAACTAGGTTTGGGTTGGGTTATGGTTACAGTTAGGGTTAGGCTCCGGTTTAAGGGTAGGGTCAGGATCAGGATCGGGGTCAGAGACAGGGTTAGGATTATATTGATGACATTCAATGATGATGATGCATGTATGGCCGGGTGTCCTAAACTGAGCATAAGCTAGACTATGACCACCTATGGTCATCTCTCTCCTACAGCTAACGTAGGAAGAGAGGCACAGCAGAGGTACAAATACACTCACCTATGGCCGTCTCGTATACCTCGTGTTTGTTGCTCTCGTTGAGTACGCTGGATATGCCGACCAGCGCGAGGCCGATCGTCGTGAACGCCACGCCCACCCAGTGCACCCATCGCAGACGCCGCTTGAGAAACACGACCTGAAATGAGGCCGGAGACACGCTGTGACAAAAAAATCCCTCTCGGTATTCGCTTCCTACTATCAACAAACCGAACCGGACGACAGTATCCGTTATTCAATCAGCGACAAAACGTGCTCGTGAACTTTTTACAAACAGCTTTGTATAAGAGCTGCAATCGGCTCATTGCAAAGCATGGGCGTTCGTTCCCCGGCGAAAACACGGATATTTTTTTGCGTCGGCACCACCTACGGATAGGATGCTTGTGAATATAACGATGGAGCCTCGGAGCATCTGCCAGACGGACGCGTTGACGTAGACGAGGCCGATGCCGGCGAGCGATGTTCCGAACAAATCGCAGATGGTCGGTATGGCGAGGACGAGCTGACAGATTCTGAAACAAGCAGACGAGTGTTAGTTCCTCTAACCAGACGCCTAACTTTCGTGTTGATACCGGCTGCCTTTGTGTTTTTACACCCCATGCTCGGATTTTCTCCGACGACTGGCTATGTGTGTATTTGCCGACAGCAACCACTACGTATTCAAATACAGCGAAACCATGTGCTAGCACATGCCTCTGATATAATGAAAACTTATAAACAACATAATTTTTTTTTTGGTCAAAAACTTTGGTCATTTTCATTGGGTAGCAGTCATGAAGTAAAACAATCTCTATAGAATAGACACGTGTCTACGTGTATAGATACCAATTTTGGCATTACTGTTGAGCAGCAGTTAAACAGTGAAACAACCTCTATAGCACAGACACGGGTCCGTATATGAAGAAAGATTTCACTGAACTCCTAGCTCTCTGTGGTTTTCTGGGTGATCGGGATACTTTGACTGACTGAAATTTTAGACGTTCTAGAAAGTAACCTAACCACAGGGAAACGGTCAAGATATATTAAAACTTCTATATAGAATAGATTTTCCTATGCTTCACGGGCTAAAACGTTCCTTCTTCGTCACACTCCTGACTCACCTCGGCTGCGTGTCCACTACATCTTCTGATCCCGAGACTTCCGACAATCGCTCTATGTTCTGAAACAGGCAGCATATGCGTGCAGGAACTACCCAGTGTATGCACAGCCTCAATAATGACAGGAAGGGGAAGGTGAGAATTGAGATGATGAACTGAAATTACGGAGAGGAAGAGAAGCGGAGGTGGAATAGAACGTTCGAAGAGACGATGAGGAAGAGATCAGTAGGTTGAGTTGAAGTTTCTAATTTGTACGCATCTCCTTTTGTATTTATATAGGTGTAATTTACTGAATTTGTATCGAGTGGAAGTATTATCTGATGGCATGCAGATAAACCGTACATAGTGCCTACCTCACGTCTATACCGATTTCGTTCACGCTGTCTAACCACAAACAGTCCAATCAAGCAGCCCATTTCACCTGGAACACACACACAACATATGCAAGAAATTAAGACAAGTATAGTCAGCCGCTATGTATATTTCATCTGGAGTATCATGAAACTTGTAAGCTACCAGATAGAATTATCGAAGAAACAAACCGCTAAAAGTATATATTTACCTACAAACATGATGACTGTTTGGAACCACGGATGATTGAAGGAATGTTCTGTTGCTGTACCATTTGCGGAGTGGTTAGCAACTCCGGGTGCCCTAAACCAGACACCACATTACAGATTAAAATATGTTTTCTGCCAGTTGCTATTACCGTGAACATATCTACACAATCTAACAAAACCAACTTATTAATAACAACAATAGATATGTTTGTGCTATTACTTATAGCTCTACCTATGTAGCACTATAGCTTCACCACAGGGTGGAGTGTTCGCCTGTGGTGGAGCAAAAGGCCACGTACATAAGTATACAGCTATATAGTATCGTGTGCGTGTCGTGTATGGGAGGGTAGCGTAGTGCGGTGCTGTGCTGACGTTGCGTTGTTGTTTTAGTTAATTTACTTTCCTTGTTTTGTTTTGTTTTTTCTTTTCTTTGTTGTTTTTTTGCTGTGCTGTCTTGTTTTTTTAATATAAACCGCATGTTCCTACTATGCTGCTCCTCTGCTGTGATGATGGGTGGTGATCTTCTGTTTTTTTCGCCGACCGCCTCGTGATCATTGTTTTTTGTGGTTGTTTTTTGTTTTTTTGTGATTTCTTGGGGCCTCGTGTGTTTTTTTCGTTGATTGTTGACTGGTGTGATTGATGTCTTTTGTTGTTTGTTGTCGTGGTGATGCTCCCCTGTGTGCGCCTCTTGCTGTGTGTGTATTGTACTCTGTGGTGTTGTGGTGTGTGTGTGCTCTCTTGGCTGTCGCTAGCGGGGGTCGACCTTAAGCAATACACTGGCCACAAAGCGAGAGACAGTCACAGTAAACAGTGATCTGGAGTCGGTTTTCGGCAAAAATACCAGATTTTTGCCGCTCATTATCTCAGCGTAGGGGCATCGTAGGGACATGCGGTTTATTTTATATTAACAAGGTAGAACAGCTGATCAATAATACTGCAAAGCATCGTCAAAATAAAAAGGGAAAAGTTGATTAATTAGACTAATACTGCAGCATGGTTTCAGCATTTCACCGTTGTACGCTTTCCTTCTTTATACGCTCTTGATAGTATCATCATAAATTCCACCTACACATTGTCTTCGTAGCATTAATTCTCGGAATGAGCTGAACTCACAAGTAACTGCCACAGAGGTTATGGCAATGGGAATTGCTGACCATGATAAAGACATTATAGATACTCTCAGTAGACTGCATGGCCCGGCCAATATTATAATATGACTCTGCGAATGACAGGGCGTTTTGGTGCTTATACTTTTATAGCTAATCGAATTTACTATGTACAGTATATTGTTCTGTAGAATATACAGTATAGCTCAACTCGTATCTCGGTTACGCTGTAACTGAAGGCCTCACTCTCAGTGCAGCTGACTCACTCAGGGTTCTCCAAGCTTTTCATTATAGCATGGCGGGTGCTGCCTTTACGGTCCTAGTTGCAAATCGCCGAAGGCAGTTTGCGTGCTGGGGGGTCCGGGGGCTATGATATTTAGAGTGGCGGGTGCATTTTAGGATGACGGGGCTCGACGATAGCCTGGCGGGCCGCCAGGCTATAAGTGCTCTTGGAGAACCCTGTCACTGCATACATGTAACTATGTACACACACTGTTCTAACCCGCAATGATACACTTACACACAATCGTTCTGTGCTTTTTTACTAAGAGTATTAATGCTGCCGGTTAACAACATTCCTCCGATGAGCAACACTTGATATCCTGACAACGCCATGCCGTGCAGTTAAGTGACAGTTCAGCCGAGTGTTAACTTGTCACGAGTGAGCCGACTTGAGTGACAACTCAAAAACCCGTGACACCTCGTTGAATTCACACTCCTTGACTCAAGCAGCCCGGCAAACCGACAACTGCTGCCTTGCAACTTGAGAGGGCGCTCGCTGATTGGCCGCGCAGTTCAGCAATGTAAAAGTGGCTGCATGTAGGCTAAATGAAATAAGAAAATACTGAAATATACCTACACTCTCTAGAATTAGAAATATTTAACTAAATTAACTACACTTTACTAGTTAGGAGATACACACATATGTAGACACTATTACAATATTGAATATGTCATGGCAATGGCGAATTCCCGCGGCCATATACCCAGATCACAACACGCGCGTACGTGTATATTTTTTCAATATTGACACAATTTTAATAAAAATTAATGAAACATGAGTACATGGACTGATGGAGGCTGCCATCTTCAATCATTTGACATAGATGGCTTCCTTATCTCTTTACCCAGTTCACTATACATTGACAAAGAGATTAGAAACCCATCTACGAGCAGCTATCATGTGACGTAAAACCATAGCGTAAAACCTGTTGTTTCTGACCCGTCACCTATCATAACATGTCAAACTTTTTTACGCCCGGTCGTACAAAACCAGTCGCTTTCTACCGGTCATAGGTGGATGTCTATATACATAATACATATCTATTAATTTCAAGTATAGGTCTCAGTGGCTCAACCACAGACTAACGGATACAGTATAATCCGTAATGTATCCATTAGTCTGTGGCTCAACCGGTGAGCTTTCACTTCGCGATAGCTATGGTGATAGTAAGGTAGCGTGTTCGAACCCCATAAGATGTTTTAATTTTTCTCCGCTTTGTGTATTTCTTTGTATTTTATTTGTTTTTGCATTTATTTGTTCTGTAACTTTTGTTTATGTTCGCAATTAAATATATTTCTTTATGTTTTGCATTAAAAATTGTCCTATTAAAAGTATTATATATTTGTCCTGTTATGTTCGGAAACTGACCAATCAGAGAAGAGAGCCGGTTGTTTAGTTTTCAGGACTCCGAAACCGGGTCCGGTCGTTTAGACACTGCCTAATTTGAAACTGCTTGTCTTGAATTCAGATGACATCTTGGACAATATTCAGATAGCAGAGACACATTACAATCCGAGCCAATGTTACATTTTGCCGCCATTGTTTGTTTTTTATTTGATCTGAAAGTATTTGCACAATATTGGGACCATGAGTTGTAAAAAAAGCTGTTATGAGGTACTCGATGAAACATACAAGTTGCGTCAATATTATTTGTGACTGTAGTTGGTATCTTGCCTTTTTAGCTCATCTGACATATAGTCAGGTGCAGCTTGTAGAATCGCATGAGCGTGCGTCCGGCCGTCCGTCCGTCCGTCCGTCAACAGTTACCGGGCACAAATCTTAACCGCTCGACGTACGGTCACGACATTCGGGACGTGGGGTGGGGGTAATCCGAAAACGAGTTGGGATGTCGAAGCCGGGGGTCAAAGGTCAAAGGTCAAGAGGTGTAAAAGAAGGGAGAACATTCCCCTTAACTTAAGGTATAGGGAGGAAATGCAGAATTGCGGCACAAATCTAAACGGCTCGACCTAGGCTTGTGATAGTCGGTGTATAGCATCATGGTAGGAAAAGCCATCACTGTGCCAAAATTGGAGGTCACAGGTCAAAGGTCAATGGGGCACAGGGCAGATTTTAGACATTTTCTGAGGACATGGTCTGACGGAGCGATTGGAAAACTTTTTTGTTTCAGCGGTGACCTACCATTTTTATGGCTTTATTGAAATGACCGTGAAATGTACATAGACGGAGGGTTAAAAAGAAAGGGGGAAAATCCCTCAAGAGAAGGGTTAAACATTGATTTGTTTCTCAACTGCGTTGGCGATGAGCTAATAACACATACTGTTGTTGAAACACATTGAAACCAACTGCGCCTAACACAAATTAAAATCGACAACAACAATGGAAGTCCTCACAGTCACGATTATATTTCGCCGAATCATAGTCACCAAAGACACTGCCTGAGCAGTAAGCGTACACAGACAGCATACTATCCCACATATGTCACATACAATTATGTCAGCAAATATAGATTCCAATGAATAATATCTAGTCCCTAAACATCACCCAAAGTGCACTGCTACGTACGAGGGAATAACGTCTATCATGTTCATAAGAGACATCCCACGGACGCACGCTCATTAAATTTCTATAAGCATTTATTAGTGTCACATACTTTAACACGCGCGCACTCGAGAGATAATGCGTTGCATGCACTCGCGTTCGAAACAATCCTCAGAGTGCTGTTTAACCCGAGCTCGCGTATGCCGCTTGTGAACAAACACACAAACCCTGATCCACTGAATCTAGATCCTTCATCAAATCCCTCCGATTAGTTCCACGTCTCACAAGTGGCCGCTCCATAAAAGGATCCCTCTCTGTAAGCAGTTCTCTCGTTCACATATATCCACACCACCAACAATAATCACAGCAGCCTCGACTCTCGTCGTCGTCGTCGGTAACCGCGCGAGTCGTTGCCGCGGCGACGATCAACGGAACTGCAGCGGGCTGATCCGCAGACCGATGCAATCCTTGCCGACCTCCGCCACGCTGCACACCGTGCACAGCGCCCCCTTGTGTTCGGGAAGGTAGCTCGTCTGACAGAGAGGGCATTTCTCCTCCGGCTTTCCCCTGCGAAAAAAGTCGGAGATGAAAAATCAGCATCTGGGATGCCAGCATACATACATAATATTTTGCAAGACACCACTCCTATCCCTACATAAGTGTGACTCCTAGCATACCTGTACATACATACGTGTAAAATGTGTCATACCTGTATATACTCGGGTGTAACACATGGCGCACTTGTATATAGGGTTGTGTGTTACATGTAGTGTACCTGTACATATGTAACACGTGGCATATACCTATATCTAAGTCTGTGAGTAACATGTAGCAGGGTGCAAATTTAACGGGAGTCCGGAGTCAAATACTCCCTGATTTACTGTCGGACTCCCTGATTTGACATAGGCAGGAGTCCGTGTGACTCCCTGAAAATTCTGCCATACTAACTATAGTTTGTTCCGAAGCACAGCCTCGCGGAATTACTGTATTTTTTCAGCTAATGTCCAAAGTAAATTTGGCAGACGTGCAACTGCATAAATCTTAAAAATTAGCACATGCGTTATTGTTAATATCTTTAATTTTGAACCTCAGACTGCGGACTCCCTTTTTTTGAGGGTACGGACTTCCTTGTTCAAAAGTTAATTTCTACCCCTGTGTAGTGTACCTGTACATGTGTGTAACACGTGGAGTACCTGTATATACGTATGTGTGAGATGTAGCATACCTGTACACACGTGTGTAACACGTGGCGTACCTGTACACGTTTAACACCTGGCGTACGTACCTGTGTATATTTGTGTGTAACACGTGGCGTACCTGCATATGTGTGTAACACGTAGCGCACCTGTATTTGTGTCTAACACGTGGTGTACCTGTATATAGGTTTGTGTGTAACACGTGGCGTACATGTATATAGGTTTGTGTGTAACACATGGCGTACCTGTATATAGGTTTGTGTGTAACACGTGGCGTACATGTAAGTAGGTTTGTGTGTAACACGTGGCGTACCTGTATATAGGTTTGTCTGTAACATATGTGGCGTACCTGTATATAGGTTTGTGTGAGATGCCGCACAGGTTGAAGGGATTGTGTTCGTCGTATATCAGCTGGTGCTCGTCAGTAGGATTCTTGTCGCAGGCCTGCAGAATCTTACGCGTCTGAAAAAACACCAGCGCACGGCCACGCATTAGTTCAATGCTTGTATTTGTTACTGCTGTTAGATTATTACTATTCATAGCAACTATTTTTATTATATGTTACTGCTGTGGAGAGGGGGGCATGGGGGGCAACCCTGTTATTGTGGTTAGAAATCGGCACTTGATTCGCTGACGACGAGACTGTGGCAGGGTGAGCCGGAGGCAACGAGGGACTGGGGAAAGCTATGAGGGTTGACGGAGGGACCGTGAGGGAGAGGGAGCACGAGGGAGCGCATAAGGCGGCCCAAAGGAAAGAGGGACCGTGATGAGAAGAGGATGGGAGGATATCGCTATAGTGGATATGGAGGAGCAATGGAGAAGAGGTACCATAATGATGAGGAGTAAGAAGAAGGAAGCTATTAGGGGGGAAGAGGGGGCTACGGGAGAGTCGTACCAGGCCTAAGATAAAATAATGCTTGTTTCCCCTTTACCGACCGACTCGCCAAAACGCCGCTACTCGACACATTTTATTGGCCGATTAAAACAAAACAAAAATTATTTTGTTTCGCAAAAAAAAAATCAAATTCGTTCCGCAAAAACATATACACAAAACAGAATATACAATAGACATACAAACATCTTGTCAAAACAAAATAAAACAGATTTTTCACCTACCTACCTACTCGGTACCATGAGAGGCGAGTAGGTAAAGGGGAAACAAACAATTTTTTCAAGGGTGGCCCCATAGTGAGGAGGAACTGGAAGGAAGCTACGCAGGATACTGAGGGGCTATGAGACGAGCTGACTATAACATGAAGGACTGAGGAGGGGGAGCATCATAGGGAGACTGAGGAGGGGGAGCATCATAGGGAGACTGAGGAGGGGGAGCATCATAGGGAGACTGAGGAGGGGGAGCATCATAGGGAGACTGTTAGG